CTGAAAACACACAGGCTGCTGCTATACTTAAAATATGACGCAGCTCTGCGCTGACCCACTGACGACGGTTGCAATGCTTTGCTGCCTCCAATGCCAAAAATTCATAAATACACAAAGAGAAACTGGAGCAGCTGTGGATGGCAACCAATCAGCTTCTCTCTTCAGTTTGCTCAGGTAAGATTTGAAAATGAAAGAGAAGCTGATTGGCTGCAGTGCAAATCTGCTCCAGTTTTGATGAATTCCCCCCATAGTTTCCTTTATGAAGACGTGTGCATTTATTATACATTTTTAACAGGTAGACTTTGCCTCAAAATCTGCTAAATACATTCCGGGCACATGAAACCACAAGGTGGGCAAAGTCTTGTAACAGTTCATTTTTTTAAGAAGCAGCCACAGACTGTGTAGATAAAGCCTGTCTGCTGCCAGCATGTTGCAGACAAGGACTGCTGCTCTCTGTGTGAAAGCGGCGAGCTCCCCGCAGGGAAACCTCCCCTGCTGCGTCAGAGCTAGAGCTCTTCCATTAGCAGGTAGGCTGAACTCTGCAGTGCTATTGGTCTGACTTAGCAGGGGAGATGATGGACCGCTGAAGAGAGACCACTGCTTCGGGAGAACACAGGTCCAACTCTGCAGCTGCTGGCATGAGACAGGCTTTTCTAATAAAGCTGTGACTACTTAAAGCTGGTTATACACGGTTATATTTTCTTTATGGTAATGCCCATGCTGCTAGGTCTTTCTCTGTCAGTGCAGAAGTCGGGTGGAGGGGGTTCATTAGCAGGTGCAGCGGAGCCCCTGCTAATGAAGCCCCCCCACACCACCACCTGCAGTACTTAATGGGATATATTTGACGCGCTTTGCACCAGATTTATGTTGCTAGTGTACTGTTCACAGAAGCAGACTGACAACACATTGAGCCCCTGGGCACTATAAGATTGTGGGCCCTCTTGTGCTCCACCCATAAGCCCCACCTACATAAACATTCTTGTGTTGCAAAAATTATTTCTCCACACAATTTTTACAATAGTAGGCCAATTCACTGAAAGATGAATTGCCGGGAACTGGTAGGAGAATTTCAGAATCTTGACCAATATAGGCAATTTGGAAAGTGAGCTAAATGGCAGAATGCATGGCAGACCTCAGATCAGAACCGAGACACGCCAGACTTCAAGCCAGAACCAATGCATGGCAGACCTCAGATCAGAACCAAGACATGGCAGACTTCAGACCAGAAACAATACATGGCAGAGCTCAGATTAGAACCAATACACGACAGACCTCCGGCCAGAACCAATACACAGCAGACTTCCGGCCAGAACCAATACACGGCAGACCTCAGGCCAGAACCAATATACAACAGACCAGCAAGTGTCATTGTTCTGGATTCCCCAGTGTCAGTGTGTCATTGTCCTGGGACCCCAAGTGTTAGTGTGCCATTGTCCAGGGACCCCAAGTGTCAGTGTGTCATTGTTCTGGACCCCCCAAGTGTTAGTGTGCCATTGTCCTGTGACCCCAAGTGTCAGTGTGTCATTGTTCTGGAACCCCCAGTGTCAGTGTGTCATTGTTCTGGATCCCCCAGTGTCAGTGTGTCATTGTTCTAGACCCCCTAGTGTCAGTGTGTCATTGTTTTGGACCCCCCAGTGTCAGTATGTCATTGTTCTGGATCCCCCAGTGTCAGTGTGTCATTGTTCTAGACCCCCTAGTGTCAGTGTGTCATTGTTTTGGACCCCCCAGTGTCAGTATGTCATTGTTCTGGATCCCCCAGTGTCAGTGTGTCATTGTTCTAGACCCCCTAGTGTCAGTGTGTCATTGTTTTGGACCCCCCAGTGTCAGTATGTCATTGTTCTGGATCCCCCAGTGTCAGTGTGTCATTGTTCTAGACCCCCTAGTGTCAGTGTGTCATTGTTTTGGACCCCCCAGTGTCAGTATGTCATTGTTCTGGATCCCCCAGTGTCAGTGTGTCATTGTTCTAGACCCCCTAGTGTCAGTGTGTCATTGTTTTGGATTCCACAGTGTCAGTGTGTCATTGTCCTATGACCCCAAGTGTCAGTGTGTCATTGTCCTGGGACTCCAAATGTCAGTGTGTCATTGTCCTGGGCCCCCAAGTGTCAGTGTGTCATTGTTTTGGATTCCGCAGTGTCAATGTGTCATTGTTCTGGATCCCCCAGTGTCAGTGTGTCATTGTTCTGGATTCCCCAGTGTCAGTGTGTCATTGTTCTGGATCCCCCAGTGTGTCATGGTTCTGGATTCCCCAGTGTCAGTGTGTCATTGTTCTGGATCCCCCAGTGTCAGTGTGTCATTGTTCTGGATCCCCCCAGTGTCATTGTTCTGGACCCCCAAGTGTCAGTGTGTCATTGTCCTGAGG